TAATGTCGGGGGTTTAAGTGGAGAGAAAATGTTTTGAGAATGAAGTACAAATGCGCTTTACACAATTGATGTGTGTATGGATTGCAGTAACAGTTGTATGAGCCCCAAATAAAATGTTTTGAAAAAAAGATTGGTATGGGTCTTAGCTAACTTGATGGCACCTACAAACAACAACCCCACCTGCCATTGTTGACTTACATTGCTTTCTGATACACGGGGATTCACACCCCTCAACTATGATTATAGAGGCTTCACACAAGACCAAATCCATGTGCGGACCCTGCCAAAGGGTTTGGGACTTCCACTGTCATCCACAGCCTTCTGCAAACCAGGTGTTCACAGTTTAAGCTATGATGCCATTCCCTCCTTTATATTTGTATTATATTATTTACAATCCTTGGAGCACACAAGCTGGTATGCTTCTTCCATGTGGACTTAGTTGATACTTCATGTAGATGGCTGCTTGTTTGAAAACAAGCCTTTAAGACCCCAGATGCTATTCTTTCTGATGGCTAGACACAATCTAGTTTATTCACCACATTTTTCTCTAGGGTCCATAAATATAGAAATCTCTTCATAAAGTCAAAGATCAAACGGGGCTACGTCATAAGAACTAATTGTTCTTATATTTGGGGCTAGAATTAAGTATAAGCACAAGATCTATTCATGCATATATAGTTTTTATATGCCTCTGGTCACCTTAGAGACATCATTGTTATTTTGTTAGACTTTAGCAGTCATCTCGCTGGGGTATATCTTCCACTGACATCAAGTCAGTGTTGACTTATAGTGACCCTATGGGGCAGGGTAGAACTATCCCTGTGAGTCTCTGACGTCTGCAAACCTTTACAGTAGTAGAAAATCTCAACCTTCCCCTGCAGAACTGCCTGGAAGTTTTGAAATGCTGACCTTGCAGTTAGGAGCTCAATGTGTAACCACTACACTTCAATAATGGCATTAGTTTAGCTAATGGTATATAATATAAAATACTGTTGAGAAAAGGAAATTATACAAGTATAAACCAGCTATGAATCACAATACATGAATTGTTGACTTGTACAGATTAAAGTCTTATGTGACTAGACACTACACAAACAACAGGGTTGGTGATAGGGCAAATCTTCCAATAACATTTATTCACAGCTGCAGAACCATGCCTACCAGATTAATATGTCATGTTGAAGCAAGGAGAGAATTAAAATAGTTAAGTATTCATATATAGTAGTTCTGGATCACCATTCAGTGGGCCCCCTCAAGGCAAGAGATTTGAACCAACATCCACCAGTTCTATCCCCTTGGGCTGGTAGTCCTCTGCTTTTTCTCAAACTAAGAAGGTCCGGCCTTAACACCAATGGGTACAGGTGACTTTGAGGTAAAGCCTAGTTCACTTTGTGGGGTTTCCACATCATGTCCTTCTGGCATATGAAGAATGTTGTGGCATATGAAGAATGTCATGGCATATGAAGAATGTCGTGGCATATGAAGAATGTCGTGGCATATGAAGAATGTTGTATGCCTCAAAAGAACAGTCTGAAGTCTCAAGTATCTGGGTTTGTAAAAGAGCTTTTGATTTCTTCATGCATAATATTCTTGGGTTCATCCCACTGCTCATCTGGTCACTAGTGTTCAATTTGTCAAATCTCTTCTTTACATGGTCTCAAAATTCAGGTGGGATATATTCGTGGTCATATTTGGGCTCTAATATATTTGTTTAAATTTTCTTCAGCTTCAACCTGACCTAACAACTGAGCAATTGAAAATCTGTTCTACAGCCTGCCCCTAACCTGGGTTTCACTGCTGATATTGAATTTCTCCATCATCTTTTCCCACAAATGTAGTCAATTGTGTCTCTGTGTATACAATCTGGAGAAGTTCACGTGTACGGTTCTGTGTTAGTCTGGGTAGAATAGAGAAACAAATTGATTGACATTCATATTTGTATAAGAAAGAGCTTATATACTAGAGCAATGGAATATCGAGAAAACATCCCAGCCCAGTCCAGATCAAGTCCATAAGCATATTAGCCCATATGCCCGAGACCAATCTATAAAATCCTCTTTAGACACATGCAATGCATGCAACGATGCCGAATGCATGAAGATCACAGTCAGTGGGTGGAAAGTCTTGTGGATCCAG